AATAGGAAAAGATCCACTGTATAAATGGTACTGAAAAGGCATGTGAGATGAGGACAGAGAATCTGCTATTGTTGGATTTGGAAATGTGCAAGGGATTGATAGCATTGGTAAGCACCGTTTCAGTCAAGTGGTAGGGACAAAAGCAAGGTGGGCATAGGTGAAAAAGTGAAAGGAAGGTGAAATAGTTGTGGCAATGCTGACAAATAACTTTCTGGAGCTATTTTCCATTAATAATATTCAGAGAAATAAGGCAGTATCTAGGAAAAATGTGGAGGCAAGAGAGTTTCTATGTAATATGCATGTGTATTGTAACAGATGTGATGGAATGTATGGAAAGTTGATGCTATAAGAATGTGCATTGCTCAGTCCATAGGTAGGCAAGAAGAAGTAGGATCCTGAGATGAATTGGTCTTTAATATCAGCATCTATGTTTTATACATGGTAGATTGCAATGGACGCTGATGCGGGTAGTCTGACAAATTTGATAGCTGAGAGATGAAACAATAATATTTTATTTTATTGTCAATGTTTTCTTCTAACAGTTTTAGAGTTTCAGGCTTTACATTGAGGTCTTTGATCCATTTGGAGTTGACTTTTGGGCAAAGTGAAAGAAAGAGGTTTAGTTTCATTCTTCTATACGTGGAGATCCAGTTGTGCCAGCACCATTTGCTGAACATGCTGTCTTTCCTTCAGTGAATGTTCTTGGCTCCTTTGTCAAATATCAGGTTGGTGAAATTGCATGTACTCATATTTGGGCCTTCAATTTTGCTCTATGCCCGCTGCTCCTCACCCTCCCTGGCTGCTCACTGGCAGTGGGTGGGGCTCTAACCCACACTAGCTGCCATGGCAATCAAGAATGGGGGCTCCTGGCAAGAGACAGAGATCAAGCTGCCACTCCAAGTGCCAACAGCAGCGGACCTCAAGTTCTTCAAGCATCTGTCAACCAAGCTCATCTCCAATGAGATGACATGGCTGAACTTCTCAAGGAATCGAAGCTTGAGCAGCACTTGAAAGAACCAGTTCTCCAAGGCCCCCCGCTGACTGAAGTGCTCACGCATTTGACCCTGCCATGGACCAAGGGAACCTCAAGTCAGAATTCCTACAAGAATCCAATCTGATCGTGGCCAGATTGAAGTATGTGGAAGGAGAGTATAAGGAAGCTATGAACATCGATGCCTTGGTGGGTCTCGATGGTCTGCCACTGACAGCCGGTGCCTCCCTATAGGCTGCGAATGATTGAGGAAGCCTATACAACCAAAGATGAAAGGTTATGAGAAGAGAGTCTTGAAGAGGACTTTGCCCTTGCGCATTTATATCATGGTTCTTCAAAAATCTCACAAATCGACAACCATCTGGATAACAATGGTGGTGATGAAGGTTGCTGCTGCTGCTGCTGCTGGAACCACTTGAATGATTCGAAGGCCTTCACTAGCGTCTCTAGTCCTGCTATGGCAGCCTCCCATCCCACACAGCTGACCCTGAGGGTCCGGAGTGTATACTGCATGGCACCGCTCAGCAACCAAAAAATGAGTGGGGATCTGTACTGTGCACAGGAGCGGAGCCATGGCACCTGGCCATCTTGGGCTGGTCCCCTCTATCCTGAGGATTGTGTTTGGGTGATTTTAAGCAGAGGAGAAAATTTTACCTAGTCAAGTGAAGTATCATTGTTCTAAGTGATCCAACTGCCCTCTTTCGACCGCTACAAGCATTGCAGGACATACATTT